GTGAAACAGTGCAATCACGTTTTGTATTCAGCGACCTTTCTTGTCCGTTCCTGGGGCAAGTGACAGCAGGTTGAGCAGGTGTCAATTTGTATTTTAGCCCGTTTTTTAAATTACTTGTTTTAGCGTCTAATTCTTTGATTGCCGACAGCGCGTATGGCACAAATATAAAATATTTCAGGGAATAAATCAGGATTTGTACCTGGACTTGAAATTTGTATTGGCCGTTGACAGTTTCATTGAAAGTGACGTTAGCGCCTCTGCGTAACATGAGCTTGATTGCAACAATGAGACGATTGGTATCCTTCAATTGCACCCAATTATTTTTTAGCAGTGCGAAATGGGCTAGCGAAGCAAATTAAAGACTATGATTTTTGTTCCATCTTTGGATGCTCCGGTACCAACGAATGTCCGCCTCACTACAATCGCTTACTTTAGGGGTTCATAAATTCCTATTCAGTGCTTTTTTTTTGTCCAAAGCGTTCATTGTACCACCACTAAAATATCTCATCTGAATAAGAAATCCGCAAAATGCTCTTGAGTTTGCGATAAAATTGAGTATTTGCTGTATCTTCATCCGGGAAATTTCATTTCCACGTTGAATAAAGCCCGCACGTGAATATGGAGCAAAACTTCAACTTTGCAGCTTTCCCGTTATGCGAAATACCATTTCGTTGTAGATATCTTTGAAGTGCCCCAAGTCGTGACGCAAGTGCAAATCGGATGTCAATATAGATACCCGATTTCCCGTATGGACGATAAATATTCTGACAAAATTTCAGCTGCTGTTTTGGGGCTTGTTTTCGAGTTAGCACAGTACAAACTGCTAAGTTTCACATGATCGTACACACGGTGTAGAAGTACGCTGTAGCTGAATTTGAAATCTTTAGCCATGCGCAGAGAATATCTCTGCAAAGCTTCATCTTTCTGTCTTATCTGATTCACGAAACTGTTTCTCGAAAAGAAATCTGCACGTTTTCCAGGAGTTCGTACGCGATATCTAGGCATGTATTAGTGACTTAAAGGGTGGCACATGGGGTGGGAATATGCCCCACAATTTCAGCCTTCCAGCTCCCCTGGTTGCTGAGTTGAAAGTGAGAGTCAAAGTTCACTCGCTTCTGAATACACACACACACACACACACACACGGACGACCTCTCTACAATGTGCGTTTTTACTCACTGTAGCAGCAATATAACGCTGTACAGTAAAAACGCATAGAAATGAACATCTGAATTCGAAACAGCTAGTCATCCATAATACGCTCGTCAACACAAATACTTTGAATGAGAGATTTTTCACCTCTTCTTTCTGTGTCGTAACAGGATGTGCATCATAAGAGCACTTTCGTGTAATTCCGATTTTGCGATTTAAGCCACTTTACAGAAGTGGTGCACCTAGTAGTGGACCAGTACAGTTAAAAGCTATTTAGAAATGTACCAGCTGTGTTTTCATATCACCCAGATAAAACCACTGATTTGGTTCGGACTGAAGAGAAAACACCGGCTCAGAACCACCAACATGCGTCAAAAAGTAAATCACAGCAACAGTTATTAAATCCTGTAACAAAGTTATAATAAGGCGTAAATGCTTGTATATTTCTCAAATTTCATTAATCTGATGACTAACAAAATCAGGGTTAGAGGAGTAGGAGGCTTCCCACAACTGTGAACAACGAATATACGCGGATGTTCCATTAATCAGGAAATAAGAGATAAATGCCCTTTTTTAGGCAAACATGAGAGCAAACTGGGTGGAGGACACATCATCACGATGAGTTTTTTGGGAGTATAGCAACTGAATGCGTAGTGAATACAGAAAGAGACTGATTTCCGCTACAGTAATCTTTTATCGCATTCGGTGCCTATAACGCAGCAAAATTCGATCCCTTGCTTGCTTCGTTTCGAAGTTATAACATCAGTCCATGTTAGGGGGAAGATCATAGTTCAGCTTCTTCTAAAGGCAGAAGCTAGTTTCATTTCAAATATAGCCCTATCTATCACGACTGCAACCCAGAAATTCTGACTTTCTGACTCATCTATTTTCCAGTCGGAAAAATAACCCGAATTTAAGCTTGAGCTCGTAAAACAAGATAAAATAAGATCTGCAAACTAATTTCTTGGACTGCACTTCACATTATTCTGTGACTTAATACTTAATCATTTAAGTGTGCTGACTTTGAAACTTTCTGCTTTATAGCAAAAGTTGAACGTTCCTTAGTATTCAATCTTTACGAAAGACGATAGTATTCGAACTACCCGAGTAGTAGGACGTGCCAGCAGACACCTGCT